TATTCGAGCTACTGTAAAGAAAAGGTAGTTAAAATTTCGAGTAATTCATCATAAATACCCTAAAAGGTATTTCACTGCTTTATTGAAATTAAGAGAGATGAAGGCGTCGTAGTGTTACTGCCGAGTAACACTACGTCGCCTTCATCTCTCTTAACTTCATTGATAAGTCTAACGCTTTTATTTCTCTTTTTCATCAGCTTTATTGTTTCTAAGCGTCATTATTAATTACAAAATTGCATGATAACTTATTCTAGAGTAAAGAACAATAAGAGGAAAAAGTACACGAGAATTAAAAGGCCATGGATTTAATTCAACAAGAACGATATAATTTAGAAACAAAATTATTAAGTTGGTCGATAAACATTTACTTGGCGAGTGCGTTAAATATTAGCGAGTTTGATTTCGTTCGGGTCAATATAGAAATTGAATTTTCTTTATTGTCTCGTGTCTGGGTTTTGTGATTCGAGCAATATATGTGAAATTCATTGTTTTATTATTACAACAGTATGAGTATTTGAGATACTTTAGGACTTGTAACTTTATTACACTATACGAAATTTTACTTATTAACAACGGAATGATGCCCTGAAATTCTTATATACAAAAAAATGCAGTGTATACAAATACGTGACATTAAAATTTTAAAAATAGTAAGCTCTTTTCTAAACATAATAAGTAGTTTAATAAAAAAATATATATGTAGTATTAGCGAAAAAGTAACAAGTGCTTGAAAAATTTAACAGTCCTATTAGGTCCTGGGTAGCTCAGTGATTAGAGCAGTTACTCGGATCGCGAAAGGTCATAAGTTTGAAACCCATCTCAGAGTACCAGGAACAAAGTGGAATTTTTTAAGCATTTTTCATATAGAATATTTTTCAATACCTGTGGATCCAATATTAATAAAATTTAATAATTATACGTAGAAGCTTAGGTGATAAAAGATTTTATGTGCTGGGCAGCTTTGTAATGCCAAATGAGAGAATTCAACACGTAACACTATTGGACGCATCACGAGTACACAAACCGCTTTTATTACCCGTTTTATGTTAAGAAAATTGTCATTAGCTTAAACTTTCTTCGAATACTAGTTGAATGTTTATTAGGTAACATGATGTAATCTATAAAATAACTATAAGGAAACTAGCACGTTTATTTCTTTATAGAGCTTAAAGTACACCCGTTTTAAGAATAGATATTTGATAGCACCTGTTAAGAAGTTTATGTAAGTGTGGGTTTATTGTATTATAATATTGTAGATTTCATTTTAACGGTACCTGCCAGTGCATTGAATAAATAAAATTGAGTGAGTTTCCGAGTATCTCGTCAGTTTTTTTTCAGTCAAATAACATTTATTGTATATAATATTGTAGATTTCATTTTAACGGTACCTGCCAGTTCATTGAATAAATAAAATTGAGTAAGTTTTCGAGTATCTCATCAGTTTTGTTTCAGCCTAATAACACCTTTATTACCTTCTGAAGTAGGTTTAATTCGATCGAACGTCTAATGCCGTGACAATTCAATATTATATTTTGAACACAAAAGTACTGCTAGAAATTTGTAAATATATATAAAATGACGCTCAAGTCGCATTACCAGGTAAGATAATTGCGCTGTCACCCCAAGAATGATATTTGTTTTTGAGGTGAATGTGAAGGAAGTTAGAATATTTGAGTTCTGAAATTAATTATTCTATTGGTCCGGCTTTTTTTTCTAAATTAGTGGAAAATCTTTGACGACCTCTGTAGCCGGGTAGCTCACACCTTGGTTACAATGTGATGTTCGAGTGTAAGCAATGTACTGGATTTTGACAAAAGAGTTCTGTCCGGATTCAGGTATTATAATAACACACGATTACAACTCTTCGAATTACACACTATATAAAACAATATAACTAAGTCATGCGTGAGACAGGTTAGACCGCTTTGCTATTGAGAATTATTGAACTTCAAATAAACAGGTCGATATACTTGGTCATATGTAACAAGACACACTTTACACCCTTGAATTAAATGGCTATTACATATAATATTCTACAGTTTAAAATGTCGAAATAGACAACAGACTCAATTACAAAACTTAACAATAATATACGAGGCCACCGCTTATGGCATTTTTTATGAGCTGCTAAATTTTTAATTAGGCAATACACAATTAATAAGAACGTGTACGAAGTTAATTTTATACAATTAACGTTTTTGTAAAAATATCTAAATTTTGTTGAAAAAGATAATGTCAATAGATGCGGGCTCATTACTTTAATTAATACTTCCGTCTTGTTGATTCGTTGTTGATTTATCATTTATCTGTATACTTTCATTGGCAGAATATGTAGAATATTCCTCGTCACATTTTTGTTATATTTTAATTCTTTACTAACATCTTACTTTAAAAAAAATATTAATTTACACAAAGTTTAGAAACACAATAATTGTTGCTTTTTACGAATTTAACTATAAATTTTTATGGTGCCTAAGTATATATTCATTGGATTTTCGAAATTCTAAATTTTTTTATGAAATTATACCTTGCATTTGTATTTATGTGAAAGCTTTAGCATTTAAAAGCTATAAATAAAGTAGAGATCTTGTAATTACTTAGATTCAATACGAATACGAGTAATTGTCGGGAAAACGTTGACCATCGGCAGGAACGGGCAAGCTCTCTCTATCAAATGAAACTGATTATGTTATTAGAAAATAAAGCTATTAGTGAAATGTTTTTTTTTCTGTCGGAATACACGTGAACATGTTGGAGAATATATAAATGTTTAAAACAGTTGAACTTAATTGATATCTTTTAGGTATATACTTGAATTCGAACAGAAATATTTTAAGGCATAGTTTGAAATTCAGATTCAGATTCAAACAAAATTATAAGTATGATACCAAACAAATTTATATGTTTGATAAATTTGTTTGGTACCATACTTTAACTATATGAAATTATAAATTATAGCTATAAATTTTATTAGGTATTAAAGTGCCTGTCTTCGGTATTTATTAAATAATTCCAGTGCGCTACGACCAAAGTAAGTTTTTATGTCCATAAAGCACTAATTAATAGCCAATTACGGTATATATAAAAACTATCTCATAGAAACAGCAATCAAATACCATATATCCATTCATGTTCCAACCAATTACGTGATGTTTGGATATCTATGACATAATTAAACTAACAAGTGGCATTAAAAAGTGAAAATTTCTGACGTATACATGGCAATACAGCTGTTGACCTGACATAATCAGAGTAAGGTCGGAATCTTAATGCAATTCAACGGCATTATGACGCTGAATAATAGAAGTCATGGACAATAGAAATGATTGCTTATTCTATTCTCTTGTTTTCCTTTTTTCATTTGTATCCAACAATACAAATAAAAAAAGGACAAAATATTATCTACAAAAAGAAATTCAACCATTAAGTGCCTATCGAACAGACAAAGTCTTGAGAGCTGCTTTTTTATTTTTAAAGACGCTTTTATTTCGTAAAGAAGAGAGTTACATTTCAATATTTCGAAAATAGGACTGGTAGATAAATTTGGTTTCAAAACTGGTATCAAAATCGGTGACTATTGCAATCGTATGAATTAAAGTGCCGTATAAACTCTGTTATACATCTATATGGCACAGAATGTTCATTTATCAATTAGCCTAACGATCTTCGAAATAACTCGACACAGGATATATTAGAACAACGACGGAACTTGCGAAATATACGTCCTTACAGTATTAAATTTTTTGGCCTTTTTATAAACGTAAGCAATTTTTAGTTAGAAATAAAAAAAACCACTTCGACTGTTTACGATGAGCTACGATGCTAAAAAATAAACTAAGTTTACTACAAATATACTTTAATTCATTTTTGTGATTTGTATAAAATGCGTTGTTGGAAGGAACTGGTATGAAATCAGTACTAGTGTATGAAATCAGTATCAGTACTATATTCGGTCATTAATACTATTTATAATAATTAAATAAATACGCTGTTGAAAGTTCTAGTAATAATAATTAGAAAGCCCAATGAACATATAATACTCATATAAATACATAACGGTCACAAGTATGAATACAAACACGTGGTATTACCGGGTTATTGCACTAAGAGAACACCTACACTATTAACGTGATATAATCACATAACATAATATGATACTTTGCATACACACTATTTAAAATATATCAAAACTATCCATCCTATCTGATACTTAAATTTGAGAATAAAAATTAGGTGCTACTTTGAAAAGGGTTGCTGCATATTTATAATATTTGAAAATTGAAAGTTAGCACGCACTATATTGAACAATAATATAGCAGGAAGTAACTATAAAAGAGATCGTGATATTTTCTTTTCATGAAAATTTGGCAAGTAACATTTTTTTATGACGCCGTCCGAAGTAATGCGATTACGCGACTAAAAAGCTGAATTGAAGTCTTTGAAATACCTTTTGAATGAGTACATTTTTTGCTATGTAGAATGCTCTAGTTATTATACAGCTAAAAATGGTAGCCGTGCCGAGATGTGGTCGGGGCCAACGGTAAATAGTTTCATTATGACATTGTCGAGTGAGATTCTCTTTTGGCGTGTGCACTAATAAAACGATTATAATAATGTTTCATGTGAAGGTGACTACGCACAAATTAAAGTCACACTACGAAATTTCGGACGAGTAACGGTAGTTTACCGTGGTTTCGTATGTAAAAAAAAACAATCAAATTAATTTAATTGGAATCTGTTGGATTAAAATGAATTTGGAATGATAAATTAAAATGTTAGTTCATTTTCTGTGTGAACATTTTTTCTGTTTGCGTAGAGTCAAATGATTAAATGTTGTAGTTAAAATTTTGACTAGAGCAGATTTTTAATTGTCTTAAATGATCATTCAAGATTTATGAAAATTGTGACAAAATTTTTAGGTGTTCAAAATATGTGATTTTGGAATAAATTTCGAGATGTTTTGAAGTTTATTACCGGCACGTGTAAATAGTGAGTCTTACCTTTTTTTCTCTTGGGAACAACTCTCACACCGATCGCATGTTCAGTCACTAGACACAAGCTTAGAACCAGTAAACAGTATCTCGCACTACACCCCATGGTTATCACAAAAAAGTCTCTCGTTTTATAATTATATCTATAAAGGCACTGTACCGAGCATTGCCTCGGAGCGGCTATCGGAGGCTGCGTCGCGCGTATGCACCGAAATATATAAAAACACTGCGCGCCCGTTCGGACGAGTGAACCGTCCGACTACCCTATATTTTGTGTTATAGCAATTTAGCACTGCGAATTCTACTTGTATATAAAACCTTTCGCCGGCTCTAGGCGGGCGGTCATTGGTTGTGCCGACGTGCGGCCCGAAGGTGAAGGGAGCTGGAAGTAGCTCCCCCCCAATTGGAGGGGGGCGGCCAGGGTCGGCAGACACTTTTGCTATCGACACGATAGCTTTCGTGCAGGTTGTACCGTTGCGTTTGTGCACCGCTCTTACGTCACGTGAGCCACGCGACCGTCTCGTCACGTCGAGGTTCCATTTGATTGAAAAAAATTACATTTATTAAATAAAACATTCACACCCAATTTCATGGTAAATAATACTAGCAGGCTTTGTGATATAAGATGCATCATTATTTAAAATTAAACCTTGATTGTTACATTTTTAGATCATACGCATTTTATATCAATACTTTAAATGACATTAGGAAATTTTATTTCTTGTTTACATAATAGGACACATAACTGACATATCATCAGATTAAAAAAGAACATGAGGTTTGAGCAATCGTGATCAGGTTATCTCACTTGCACTCAGTTCTGTTGGCTGGCCAAATATTCGATCAGTCTGTGTCAGCTGTTTGACCCAGTGGCCATGTTAGCTCGACAAATGTTGACGTTGATTTCAGTTGATTTATGATCTGGTGACGGCTGTGTTTCAACTTATTGAGAAGTGTAATAAATATGTTTGAAACTGTATAAGAATTTAATTTAAAGTAAGTGGAATGTTTGAACGATAAATGATGAAAACAGTGCACCAATATAATTTGCGGTTCACATTAGATTTTAACTCAACCATATGTCGCAAATAAGTATTAATTTTCTGTCATGGAAGGAAGATCTCATGAAAACAAGCACTTTTTTAATATTCTTATGCTTAAAAATGTATCTTGATAATGTACCATGTAAATTGGTGGTGTAGGTAAGGTAAAAATTATACATATCGGGCAAAAAACGAAGCTAGAAAACTGGATCAGGCCCTACAACTAAGGCTCTTCGCAACTTTTATACGAGTAGTGCGTGACATTTGAATAATTTAAACGAATGAGCAGTTAATGGCATGGTGGTTAGGGCATTACGACTGTGATTGTAATAAGTAACTAACTATAAAATATTCTCAACGAAAATTACTTAAAAAATCCACTTTCTTCCTCGCGCTCTGAGATGGGACTCGTACTCATGACCTTTAGTAATCCTGGCGACTGCTCTAACCACTGAGCTACCCAGGACCTAACAGGACTGGCGAATTTTTCAAGCACTTGTTACTTTTTTGCTAAATGTCATGGGTTCGAGTCCCATCTCAGAGTGCCAGGGCCAATGTGTTTTTTTTAGCATTTTTCATTAAGGAAAATGTTTGGGTGGATTAGCAGAACATTGATGAAAATACGGTCTGAGGTAGCGAAAAGGTAACAATTGCTTGAAAAATCTCATCAGTCCTAGGTCATGGGTAGCTCAGTGGTTAGAGTAGTCGCCTAGATAGTGAAAGGTCGTGGGTTCGAATCCAATCTCAGAGTAGTAGGGAAAAAGGATTTTTAAGCATATTTCATTAAAAAATATTTTTAATATAGCATTGTGAATACAAAATCGTTCAAATATTATAACTATAAAGTAGATTTATAGTTATAATATTTGAACAATTTTGTATTATAGGCCAGCTTTCAGATCGTCAGGTGACTGAAAATTTATTCATGAAGGAGCTTCGTGCTGCAGAAAGCACTTATGTTAGTCCCGATTGCATCTACGGTCTATGATACTTAACAATCCTCTCTGGGCCTACTTGATTGGTTATGTCCCGTTCTATTTATGTGATTATATAAAGATATAATAAGGCTAATAATAATGGCGACAAAGGAGTTATATGTACTTACCTGAAACTTTTTCGAGTTTCGTTACTGGTTAAGTTTAGAAATATATATTTTTTATTATAAAAAAATTACCATATTTCGTGATAGTAAGTGACAATTCTACCTTCTAAGCGTAGTAGTTATTTATTGAGTAAATACATGAAATATAATTAGAATGAACTAAGTAGCAGCTAGCGTACTTGACCCTTGGAAGTACCTACTTGTCACAACTGATACAAAAGATCTTTAATTAGATTAATATTTATTACTTTTAACTTTTTATATAGCTCTAAAGTAGACCGTATCCCTACAATATACAAAACATATCACCCATATAACATATGGCCCAATGCGGATCGATATGTGTAAACTACTGCAGATGCAGTCGCATCTAACGGCATATCGTCTTTCATTGGAAGCAGTAAATTTTTTACCACCCATGACTTGATAAGCTCTTTCAACGTCGAAGACCAAACACACCAACTCACTCTACATACAGAACCATAAAAAAATTATTATCTAAAAACTACGTTTCATAAAGTTGGCTTAGCGGAATTAGGCCAGTTTGTGGTCGATCCTTGACCCTATATAAGGCGAGGTTAACATTTTAATATTAACTAACAATGATTAATAACTTCTCGGTTGGTGTTTAGAGTTCTGTCATGAACCAAACTTAAAGATTGATGTGTGTGCAAACATGTCCGGTTTTATGTACATAGTTAATTAACTTAATATTGTCTAATAACTGAATGTGTTTGAGTGCGTTTACTTTAATATTTAATATTGTCTGACGCCTACTCTAATGTATTATCTTGTCATTAATCAACATTTTAATTAGGAAATGGGCAGTAATTCTGTACTTTTAGCAGTTCATTTTGAAATGTGAAAAATAGATGAGAATTGTATAGCGTTAAAACTATTGTAATATTATTAATAATCAAGTTCAAGCGTTGGGATAAATTTACGCTGAGACTGCACTTAGTATTAGTCTAAATTCATAGTAGCAAGGATTAACTTTGTAGGAGGTTCTAGAAGGTAATAGATGCTTATTTTTTGTATAATATGAATTTGGACTAATACCAAAATGCAATTTTAGCGTAAATTTCCTCTGACTGTACACCTTGTTTATTTATAGCACTGGTAGTTTTAATGCTTTTGTTGCTTTAAATGCCGCTAATATTTGTTATGACATGTAAGTCTTCGGGGTTATCATACTTTTATATAATTTTTTATGCACATAAAAACGCTACGTGGATGAAGTCGCGGGTAAAAGCTAGTTAATAATAAGTTCAAAATGTAGATAAATTCAGAAACTACTAATTAATTTTAATACAACTTTCACTAAATAGAAGGAACGAATCATGAGGAATACTTTGTTGACCAATTTATTTTTTTATTAGTATTTTCCCGATACCGGAAAAGACAAAAGGAATTTTTGAAACGGTTTGAAATTTTTAGATCTACTTATAATAAATTTTATTTCTTGTTTTAATTTATTTAATATGGGGATTGTATAAAATTTTACACTTATAATTAACTTCACAAATAATGCAATGAAGTTCAACTTCATTAGACAAAAGTCTAACCATAATCTGAAACCAAGTACAATATGCCATCTGTTGTAGCTTTTTGGCAACAATAAAATTTGAAACAAAAAGATCGTACTCTTTTGTGTCACTAGAGCATTCAGTAGGTTGGGTTTTTTAAAATGAATCGCCATTCTCAATGTCTCCACAATTAAATGTATATTTTGTTATAAATCTTATAGGTATTCCCCCGTACAATGAATCATACTTTATAAGTATTAAAAAAATTAAGACTCATGGAATTTTCGAACACTGACTTATGAACAGCTTAAGAGCAAGAAATACGCCATTAAAAAGGAACAAAAGTCCAACTTAACAACAAGTTTGATATCGTACGTACATTCCCAACTTAATGAATAATCAAATAAATAAAACACTGAGAATTTATATTCAAGTGACGAAACGGAAACAAAAAATGCGTAAGTGGAATTCATTTGTTATAATTAAAATAATATATAATGATAATTAAATTAATTATAATATAAAAGGCGATGTTCTTGCTTAATATGCGTTTTATAATATGTTCTACATTTTAAATGGAACTATTGTTATTTTTTTATATGTACGTGTACGCGTTTTGTATCTTTTGAAGGTTCCACAAACGACTGACATAAAGTTAGCGTGATCAGAAATAATAGGATATTTTCATTTTGAAAGTTCATCAACTTCATAAACTAAATAGTAAATAGGATTACTGTCAGTAGGTATTATTTAGACCAATATCTATATAGGATCCAATGTTTTTCAGATACCAACGAGTTATATTTCATTCATCATAAGTATATTATTCAGCATAGTATTGTGAATGCAAAATTTTCGTCTTTATCGAAAGTTTAAATATTGGAAAAAATATTTCTTTCGGTTGTTTAGGTGGATTGACTGAACATTGATGAAAATACGCTCTGTAGTAGCGACAAAGTAATAAGTGCTTGAACAATTCATCAGTCCTGCTAGGTCATGGGTAGCTCAGTGGTTAGAGTAGTCGCCTAGATAGTGAAAGGTCGTAGGTTCGACTCCCATGTCAGAGTAGCAGGGAAAAACTGTATTTTTTTAGTATTTTTTCTAAATTTTTCAGTATATCATTTTTATATTACATTCATCATCTGTAAAATATTCTATTTTTACCTATTAGCTGATTTTATCATTTACCATCTACCGATCTAATAAAAGTAACAAGCCTGTATGTTAAGTTACAGCAATAGAAGTATTATTATAACTATAGTTTCGATTTATTAATTTAAATGAAAACTTTACATTTGCATCCTTTATAAAAACATACAAATATTTATTCTATCGGCAAAATTTCTCGTTAAACTATATCACAAAATATATTGCATCTATTTTGCAAGCAGTACGTAAAGTTGAGATTAATTTTACATTCGTGAGTAGAGCAAAGCAATAAAATTACAAGCAATGGAGTTAGTTCAATTCCATAGCATTTGGCCCCGTTGACCTTCCGACCTGGGTGTATAATACCATGGCTACCAAATTGGCACAACGATACTGTTATTACATCGCTTAATTCTATCACAACCATGTTTAACTCATTTCCGAACAAATACATGATGATTAA